AGGAATAAAATCCATTACAACTGACCTGCAGTTTCTTTTTCCCTGAAGAATACTATCTCTTATAAAGCAAGATCTCAGAGATAAAAAAAATGTAACATTAAAGTTTACTTGGGCTTTGCATTTTTAACAGCTCAGTCATGTCGTGAAATTCACTACCAAAAGAACACTGTCACTGTTAAGATGGACACTGAAAACACAAATATTTCTAAAATTCAGATAAAGAAGTTTTAATGTGGTTTTAAATGTCTCTGCACTATTAGGGTGGTTTCACAACCCATTTTATTTACTTCTTTGTTTTGAAAAACTCTTCTGTACATTAAAAGTCAAAAAAACAGCACTCAAAATAATAATAACACAATGCAATTACCATAAACTAAATACTGTGGGCTGCAAAATTATTAAATAAGAAAATTTTGTTAAACTCTGTTTATAATTATGTTAGGTATTTGTGAAAACACACAAAATTAAGCAGGAATTTAAGCAATTCATTACAGCTCATCCAAATCTTGATTAGGTGCATTTTCAGTTAATTCTGCTCCATTTTAAACTTTAGCACAATTTCATTCAAGTAGTTCTCAAGAGTTATAAAGCAAACATGAATTAAAGAAAAAATAAAGGTTTTATATGTTGTCTGTACACAGAGTACTTGAATTTTAAAACTTACTTATCAATATACAATATAACTCAATAAACAGATGACTTACAGCATCAATCTGTTCTAGAGAAATTTTTCCTGTGTTCTTTTGCACACTGTAATCTGGGCCAACATAAGAATGGCTGAAAAACAAAGCAAACAGTGCAACAACATTTAAAACTGTTCAAAAATTTTTTTTAAGTTCACAAAATTAGAAAGAAATTATTTCACCAATTAAGGGCTGCAAATATTTTATAACTGGCAAAACTAAGAAAAGTGTTTGACAATTATGTAACTAATTAAGATTTATAAAATCACATTAGAGTCAACATGGGAAAGAAACTTTCTCTCCCTTTATCAGAAAGTAGTGGTGAGAGGTTATTTAGAATTTAGATCACAGGATCATGCTACTGTTGAAGCTGAGAGACACCTCTGAAGATCAAACAGTCTAACGCTGTGCACAAAACAAAGTTAACTACCACAGGTTGCTTAGTATCTCATCAAGCTGGGTTTTGAGCACATCCAAGGACAGAGACTCCAAAACTTTCTGAGAAACCTGTTCCAGTGCTTGACCACCTTAGAAGTAACAGTGTTGTCTTACGGTTAAGTGGAATATCCCATGTATCAGTTTGTGCCCATTGCATATCACCAGATACCACTGAGAAGAGTCTAACTCTGTCTTCTTTACTACCCCTTTCCAGACACCAGTGTATACAGACTAATACACACATCCTCCTGAAATTTCTCTCCTCCAGGCTAAACAATCTCAGCTATCTCAGCCTCTCCTCATATATACTGGAGCACTCAGGACTGGACACAGCTGTCCAGATGTGGCCTCTCCAGTGCTGAGTAGAGAGAAAGGATCAATCTCCTCGATCTGCTGGGGTGGTCTTCCTAACGCTGCCCAAGAGACTGTTTGCTCTCTTTTCTTCAAGGGTAGACTGGTGGCTCATAGTCAGCCTGTTGTCCATCACAACTACAGTGTCATCTTCTGCAACCATTTCACAGCCATTCAGCCCTCAGCCTATAATGGTACATTGGTTTATTCATCCCCAGATGCAGGGCTTGGTATTTCCCTTCATTGAACTTCATAAGGTTCCTGTCAGCCCGTTTCTCCAGCCTGTCCAAGTCCATCTGAAAGGCAGCACGCCCATCAGGTGCAAACTACTCCACCCAGTTTTATATCATCTGACACTCAGAATGCACATAATGTCCCATCACCTAGGACATAAAAGAGAAGTTAAACAACATAGGACCCAGTACCAATACCAAGCGTATGAACAAAAAGCTGGGAATGACTTTACTGCACTACTGACATACAAGCACACGCTAACTCCTGACAGTAGTTGTCTAGCCAAAATAACACAGGACTTTGCATATGTTCTCTCATCTTTTACTCATCCTGCAATGAAGCTACTTTGGATACCTAAACTAAATTGAGGTAACCATACACTGCAGCAGAGACCATCACATAGACATTGTTGTAAATTTCAAACCAGTTAAATACAAGCATCTAAAGCCCACCCTTTACTTCTAAATATATAGACTTCCTTAATATATATAATGAAGATATGTGCAGGGCTGCACAATAGGTCAAGAGAAATGCTTACAGCAGAACCCAATTAAAATCAAGAGCTGACAATACAACAGGCAATAAAGCAAACAAGGGCTTTGGATACGGCATATTGGGCCAAAAGGAGAAATTACACTTTTCAGACTCTCAAAAGCTCAAATATTCTCAAAATGGTAAATAAACATGATTGTTATATTAGAAAGTGGCATAGGACCTTTCCAAGGTGTTCTGAAAAAAGAGTATGCTTTATCCATCCAGAATATGTAGACTGAGCTGGCATAAATAGGCCACCACTGATCATGTGGCCATAGGCAGCTAAGCTGTCAGATTCCTCTCCCAAGGAGGTCAAGGTACTAGAGTTTTTTGGTTTACCCATTTTAGGTGCCAGGACTTCTAATTTTCTATAGTACAGATTTCCCTAGGTCCCTTGATTAAATCACAAGAAAACAATGTGTTGCTTTCTCCACAGATTGTCATTATCTTCTCTAAGTTTCCATTAAAAAAAACCCTCAAGAGCCATAAAAAGAAGAGAGACTATCCTTTTGCTCCATGAACAATGGTCCTCACTTTTTCATGTCATTAAATGTTGCCAAATAGCTTTCAGCTTCCTACTGCTGGTTTGAAAGCACATTCCAACACAAACCAGCTAGGCTTGTGATTGCCCTCTCTTTTTTCATCTTTTCTTCCTTCCAGCTTTAGCTCTTAGTTTGGACTCGTCCTTTCTGTTATTCCACACAGCTTCTGAGATTACTTCCTGATCCAGATCAAGCTTTTTACTCAACTATAAAAACCTATAGTTCTTCATAATTTCTTTTGGTGGTTTACTGAAATGCAAGCAGCAATATCTTCATTTTTCACTTAAAAAAAAGTTTTATTTTACCTCCATATATAAATTATTGTGTCTCATCATTCAGCCTGATTCAATCACTCAAAAACTGTCTAAAAATCGAAAATCTTAGTTACCAAAAGTTTTCTAAATATATCTCAACTGAAGATCAATACATATATTCAACACCACTGTTGACCAAGAAGAAACCTCTGCTATATCAATGTTTCCAAGAGTGGGATCTATGTATTTCAAAAAAAACAGCTGTAGGACTATTCTGATAAATACTGTATCATTCACAGATGTGTCAGTGTATCATGAGATTTAGTAAGGAGATGAAGGGCACTTTGTAGATGTTGAGAACAATAAATGACAGCTGTCCATTAAGCCGTGCATTCTTCTTCTGAGATGAGCATGAGAAGGAGGGTGATCATGTCTGCATGAGGACTGTGTTATTCATTTAAAAAATCCAGTCTTGCAAATGACTTTGTTTCTGTATCAACCTTATAAACTATCATTTGAAGACAGAATTAACAGAAGCATACAAAACACTGGTTATAAAGGATGTTGGAAGACCAGTTAACCCACACCCCACTTCAGTCGGGACTACTGCCAACACAAGTCAGGCAAGATGTGGTTTTTCCTAGCTGCATCCTAAAAACCCACACAAATGAAGATTCCACATCTCGGGGCAATCTGCTGCACCTACCATTCTAGCAGAAGCATTTTTGCTCATCTCTGATCTGAACCTCCCAAGCTGCTCTATGTGACCACTGTCATTTGTTATATCCTCTGGCACCATCAAGAATTCCAATACTGCAATGTTCGCCCTTCAAACAGTTGTAGGCTGCTATTTGATCATCCCTAAGCCTCCTCTTCACCAGATTAAGCAAAGTCAACTCAGCTTTTCCTTACAATTCATGTACAGGCACAGTCCTACACAAGTTTGATTGGGTGATATGCAACCATTTTCATCTTTG